AATGAATATCTTCTTCTGCATCTAATGCAAATCATAACCTAGGACTTTATTGCTTACTACTTGTAGCCAATTAGGTTATATGGTATTCGCTTGTGGTATCTCCAATTATACTATGAGTGTATTTCATCTGCTGAACCATGCTTTTTTTAAAGCATTATTTTTTTTGAGTGCAGGTTCTGTGATTCATGCAATGTCTGATGAACAAGATATGCGCAAAATGGGAGGATTAGCTTCGTTGTTACCTTTTACTTACTACTCGTGGTGAATTAAGTAGAATTTTTCAACGAATCCAAATTCCATTATACTTGGATTCTACTAACTTAAATATAAGGATTTATCGTTATCGAATACGTTATCAATTACTTCCTTAGTTAAGGTTCTTTTTTAATCCAAATTTAGATCAATTGCTCAATTTGCAGAAATTTTACACTGTGAAAGTCAATTACTTGAAGAGTCGCTACCATACTCGAATGAATAGGAATTAAACGTTCTACCACAATTCCGTGAACTACTTTACGTAAATTAACTATCCTATTAGACCTACTATTTGTCTTAGCAATCACAGTAGCTTCTATTGCTTGAAAACGTGATTTATTAGCTTCTTGAACTATAAGATTGACTTTTCTCTATTTTTCATAGAATTTGTGGTGCTTTTTTAGCTACTACTGTTTTATTTAGTATTCTTTTTGTCAAAATTTGTGAACTTAGTCTGAATTTTTTCGACTTTTATTTATTTGTCTTTTACTTCATTTGTTATTTTCATTGGTTAATCTTCAGTTTGTTCAATTTAGCTTTCTTAGCACTATGCTATCATTTTAGCAATGAAATTCGACATTTATTGTGGGATTTAGGGCGCAGCTTAGATTTATCAAAAGTGTACACTTCCGGATCTATTATATTCTTTTTTGCAGCTTGTCTAGTTACATTGAATATCTTGAGATTCTCTTTGTCGTAAAAAAAGGTGTAAACGAATGAAAGCTAATAGAGAAAGATTGGCACATTGGCTTCTTCAACGGAAGTAAGAAAAGTCAAAATCTCTGGAACCACCCAATTAGTCCCATCCATTATACCAAAGAGTCGTCAAGAAACCTTAGCTCTTCGGTGGATTCTTGAAGGCGCCCTGTGGAGACGACATTTGACACCGTATCCCTGTAGTTGCACCAAACCGCTCAACCATCGTGCTGCACTACCCTCTAGATAGGATGCAGCCACTAACACTTCCTCGTGTGGCAAGGTAAGCTTACACTTTACATAGATTGACACTGCTCTCAACCACGTGTCGAGGTCTTCGCCCCTCTTATCCCCTGTGAAGGGTTTAGGAGCAGCGATAGCCGTCTTTGGTACCCACTGTGCTGGTCCCGGTCCCTGCATCACACCGAGCTGTGGACCCTGTGACACAGGTTGCTGTGCTAGCTACTGGGGCTGTGTGCCCTGTGGCTGCACAGGTTGCGAGACAACAGGATGCGAGGTAACTGCAACCTGCAGCGGAGATTGGGTGAACACTGTCTGTACAGGAACCGGCAAACTAGTTCCTGCTGATACCCCTCCTGATAGCGGCATGCCCAGGGAAACGATTGCAACCGATGATGGGGCTACATATGGGGATACCCCAGTCACCGGTGGGACAAAAGGAGGAGGCTGTACAACGGGCCAGGCACCAAGCCGGACATTGGCGACGTAGCCTGCGCTTGCCCAACCAACAGGGCCAGACTTTGCTGGATATCCTGAAGGATGGCTGTCTGATGGTCCCTCATCTCCACTACATTCAGCAGGACGGACCGTACGATCCTCACCTCATCAATCACTAGCGTTAGGTCTATCTTCTCTAACTCACTAACGTCTGCTTGTCTCTGTTGCATCCTGGCTCTTCTTCGAATCATTCTTTCTTTCTCCGCTTTTATATCTCCTAATGGCTTCTGTAGCTGTGCCTCCTGCATTGCTGCTTGTTGTATGGCGATCTCGTCGGAGGTCAACACTATTGCCTGGCTCGCCTTTACACCAGTGGACTGACTCTAGGTCTGTGCAACTGTTGACCCAACAAACCCTGGACTACCAGCCTGAGTAGACTGCTGTGCTGAAGTGGCCATGGCTTCTGAAGCTGCGGCTTCACTCACAAGTGCCCTGCTAGCCTCTGCTACTCTAGCCCTCCTCTGCTGCTGCTCCCTCACCCTAAGCTGGCGGAAGAGAAATATGTCGCCCTCTGGTCCTAGTGCCAAGTGGGTAACTGGGCGTCTAGTCGATCGCAATATCCTCCGGTCGTCCTCTCCAGTGTCCTCCGCGTCGCTCATAAGCTACAGCCCTGTACACAATCTGCACTAGTGCACTCTAAATGCCTACCGCAGCGTAGTGTACAAACCAATTAACTGGTGTCTATTTCAAAGACTTTACATTCGGGCCCAACAGGTAAGTCAGATTCCTGCAAATAAAACTATTTTTAGTTTGACTAGTCCGCAAACAGAAGCACCATGAACAAGAAACAGTTCTAACTAATGTTGTCTGTCAAATGTCAATGGCTGTACACCTACCTAATCAAAACATGACAGCATGGAATTTTCTCGAACTTATCACCTGGAATTTACCCCTCCGTTAGTTCCCCTGAGTATCACTTAACGTCAGCGTCCCTGAGCAATCTGGAGAGCGTCGCGTGTCTAAAGGTGTGTGTCCGGCCCACCCCTGTGCCCCGAGTATCTGCTGAGCTGGCCAGCCCTGCACTGGATTACCTCGCATGCAGCGAGCCTTACAACCATTGGCTGATCCAGAGGCAATTTAACGTCCGCCCCCAAGTGACTCCAGGAATTCTTTTACGTCGCAGCTGGACGACGATCACAACCAATGGTTCCCCTTCCGGTGCTTATTTAAAGACGCCCGGTCTCGTCTCCCGAAAGGGCTGGCCTGCCCTTCAGTACCCATCTAACAGCGCAGCAAGCCAAACAAAGGACAAGCTACTCCTGGCGGGTTGGCATGGTGACCGTGACCTAGTGCTTCGTCCAGGGCCCTTCAGAAAGCTCCGCCCATCTTCTCCCAGATGCTCTACGTGAACATTGCCGACTCTCAAGGTTGAGTGCACTCGACACCTCACAATGAGAGGACTCTCAAGAAGGAACACACAACCTCACGGTAAGATGTGCCGGAGAGGGTAGATAAGGCTAAGAGCAACGTACCTCAAATAGCTGCCCCCAACCACAGAGATAATCTCACCAGATGACCAGATGGCGATTGCGATGACCAGTCACTACATCGGCACAACCAGCATTATCTCGCCGTTCCACCTCAGCATCAATCACACATTAGATAATTCTCATCACACTGTCCAGACCACAATACCCATCTCGTAGCCTTCCTGGCGAACCCCTCACCTCCTAGGTCGCCACTCACTCGCCTCCGCCCTCCTCACTACACACCACTTACGGCCAAACTCGCCAAGCAGACCGCATGTATGTACCGCATAACGCAGAAGACAAGCGCCAGATGAGCGCATTCGTACCACAGCTCTGATACCAAATTGCAAGGAAGATGAGCAATAGCGAACTTCAGCAATCAAACAGCATCATACATATGAGTCCTTATAATCTTGACCTCGAACCAACAGCAGAATTGCATCACGAGATTCACCAAATAAGAACACACCAAGAGTTCATAATTGACAATGCTGAAATAGACCCATCATCATCATCAATGAAGAACCAGAGTATATATCCTATCTGGCGCTCGGCGCCCAGACTATTTGTGGCAGATCGTATCTAGCCTATACTACAATGCCGAAGTTGACGACAACAGCTCCCCCGAAGAGTACGAGCATACAGCGACCAATGTGGCACGCTTCCAGCACCAGGTATGTCTCTCGCCTTACTCACAACCTCGTTCCCCAACACACAGATGCCACTTGCACCCAAGGAGCACCCTGCGCCACACCCAGCTCACAGCAGTGCAGCTCGGCTATGGCTGCCTGCTCCTTCTCTGCTCGCCCGTGAGCGCGTAGGCGCCAGCCAGCAAATAGCGCAGCAGCGCTTGCGCAGCATGCAGCCAGCACCTGAATGCCGATTGCAGAGGCAGGCCCTTTGCTATATCGAAGTGGCCTGCCTGTGTCCAGTCCCAGGAAGCTTCCAGTAGGCCCCGGTAGCCTGAGGCCCAGCACGATCGAGAACAGCCCTGGGGCCTGAGGTGGTTGCATGAGCCCAACTGCCTTTGTCATGTCTTCGGCCCAGTACCCGTATCCAGCCCAGGGCCTGCTTTCCATACATTCNAGGTGGTTGCATGAGCCCAACTGCCTTTGTCATGTCTTCGGCCCAGTACCCGTATCCAGCCCAGGGCCTGCTTTCCATACATTCACACAGGCGGCTCAGGGCCTGGATTCTTTCAACCAACTGACGCTGCGCAACTGCCTGAATTTGCGCAGTGGCCAAAGTAGGGCCCTGAGGGCCTCGTCGAGCCTGCCTTCACTTAGGGCGGACGACTGGCTCCCAAAATGGGGGCTGAATGGGGCTCATAGAGGCAGTGGCCTCGCAGATGTGTTTTATTTGAGAATGTGGATGTCTTTTTGCCATTTCTTGGATTCATTTCTAGTTTTGGTGTGTGTATTATGTTGACATCAACTGATAGTTGCTCAGCCTGACTCCGAGGTGAGAATTTCCCCCATATAGCATCTGATTACAACGCAGTGAGAATGTATCTCATTAGCTGTGATGTACGTTTGCCTTTATTGCCACCTTATTTGCTCTTCTTTCCTTCAATCACCCCGGACTGGCCCTACTGCAATTCATCTCTGAAAAAGGGCAGACGGTAGCTTCGCATCAAGATTTAAAAGATCCTGTTGCACTGAAGAATAAGCTGCAACCTGGTGGTGTGTTCTTTGAGCTGATTGAAAGTTAGGACCATATGAACACATACTGTTTAGGCTACCCACTCTCGGGTGCATCTGAGAAAAAGCTGCAACCTTATGGTCATCTCAATTACCCCTCCTATGCTTGACTGGGTTCTGCTGCACTGTTTGTTCTTTGCAGGTGCTTGGCTATTACACTATGCACTCCCAGCCACGAGAATCGACTGCAAGGGCTTTCAAGCTTGAGTTGGATGCTGTAAAACCCACACATACAGATTCTTTGGAGGAATACAGGTTGGTGGACTACAAGTGCTCCTTGAGTCCTGGCTGATTCTCAGTGCATTCTCCAAACTTCTCCCTTCTCTTTCCGTTCTGGGGACACACTGGGCCATGCAGAGTCCCATTCTTGACACTGGGACTTCAAAGGAGCTTGAAAACTGTTCCGGAACAGGACCACGCGGGGGACAGGACCTCTCCGCACAGTTCGCATGCGAAACCACACCGGGAGGTGGCCGCACAGGACAGTGCCCGGCTCTGTTTGGCCCTGTGCAGTACGGGTACGGAGCTGTACGGTGCACGGGAGGGGACCAGACCGGGTTCGGTGTGCGGTGGGGTTGCAAGTATGAAAATGATTTATTCCTTGGTAAAATACGCTGCAGAAATGAGGGTCGACATATCGTTCCTGGTCTAGCGTCTGAGGCTATGAGGACTCTGATTCTCTGCAGGTTTGGAGTAGTTCCAGCGCAGCTATAAGTCAATCCTTGGACCCAAGCCGGGATTTAACAGCCTGAGTCTCAGCATGTGCTTGGATTTAGGGCTAGAAAATTGTTGGGAGGCTCCCTTTGGTGTGACATGCGTGATGACCTCCCATTCGTCGCGTTATGCATGATCTTGTTGCAACGAGAGAGGTGTTACGATCCTGGTCATTCCCAAAGTGCAAATTCACAATGAAAGACAATTGCAAGGAAAATGAACAGAAGCGAGATGACAATATTCAGATTGCACAATCACATTGAAAGCCAAATCGTATCACAGTGTTCAGAAAGCAGCATTGCACCAACGTAGCACTGAAAGTCAATGTTAATGAGAGCTTGCTCTCGCCACCACCAACATATGTATCCAGTCTCCATCTCCCTACTTGGCGCTCGGCACCCAGTCTACTCCCTACACAGCTACAACTAGCCTACTAATTGACAATGCAACTGTTGATGTCAGCCTCCTCCGAAGTACTTGAAGATGTCGCCCATGCAGACCATCGCCAATACCAGGTATGTGCCCTCACATCATCATCATCATCATCATCATCATCATCCTTCTCTCTCTCTCTCCCTTGTCTCTCTCCTATGTCTTCCCTTTGTACACCCGAAGACCACCCCTGCGCCTCACTGTACATCCAAGCCCRCCAGCTATGGAGGCTGGGCTATGGCGCTGCCCTCTCTGCACGACCGCACACAGCATCCCATGAGCTTCAGCTCCAGCAGCGCTGCCGCCAGCATGCGAGTGCCCGAATGAGCCGCCAGCCAGCGAACTCTTTCCTATATGGAAAAGAGCTGGCCTGGCTTCGCAGCCTGGCTGCCCTGAGCCTGGGCCCAGAAGCTTCCGGTAGGCCCCAAGGTTCTGCGCCTCTGGTGCAGCTACTGGGCCTCATTCGGTTGGGCCTCCCAACTGTCTATGTATGAGGCTGCAAATCTCGCCCAGGGCCTGTGCTGTTGGAAAGGCGTAGAAGGCCTGGGATTTTCCACGCTGCTCGGCCTGGGATTTTCCACGACGAAACTGCCTGGACCCCAAATACGAAATTGACAGCCAAGTGCTTCTCGTGATTTGTTAGGCGTGCCTTCACTTAGGGCGGGCACATTTGTGGCAGGGGCCCCTTAGGCCTGCCGAGGACCCAGATCCTCGCATTCCCTCCTTTTCTTCAATAGTCCTCTGAGAAGTCCTTATATAACAGGCTGCTTCCCTTTCAGCGTTCTTTCATAACTTGAGATAATTTTAGGAGCAGTCTTCATTAATTCCTCTCTTGTGAACCACCGGTGTTCTTGACGATCAATGTGATGTCTGAACCGCACTCGATATGGCATCTGTGGCTTTGGCGGTCGTCCCCTTCCTGGAGGTTTGGGCACAGGCATCAGCTTGTGCTCGATGATATCGTCGATGTCTACGTGTCCGTCATGGTTGGGGGCAGCATTGACCTCCTAGAGGGAAACTGATCTGTGGCAGCAAAAGGTGCCAACTTTGATGCATGGAAAACAGGGTAAGTACGCAAGTGTGCAGGAATGCGAATCATGTATGAAGGCCCATCCGGTCGATCCCCTACAATGTAAAAGGGCCTCTACCTGATTCAGACCCTGTTCGGCAAATGCAGCATAGAGGGATCACTCGCCACGGCCCATCTCGTGAAAGCAGATCAAAGGACATGTTCTCTGGGTCTAAAGTCACATCCTAGCTAAGTAAAAGCCAATGTCAAAGGTCACAGTTGTGCCCTGTACGAACAGCTGCAATATCTGGATTTGGGACTCACAACTGTTCGTCCAGGGGGTGCGGAGGTCATGTCTGTTCAGGCAAGAGATGTGTCTGTACGTACAGTATGTGTCTGTTCGTGCAGTATGAGTGTCTGTTCATGCAGAATGTGTGTCTGTCCAAAAGGAAGTCAAAGGGCAGGTTCCCAGTTCTGTCTAAGTCTTTATAGGGGGTCTAGATTCAGACACCCAGTCCAAAATCCAGGCCAAATGGCCGCAGCAGCAGCAGACCCTGAGGGGAAAATACTGGGACACACACATATGCATGGGTCTGGGACGGAAGGAGGCCCAAAGTGCCAATACAGACCAATGCAGACCTCACCAGGGGAGGCCAGCAGTATAAAGCAATAGGCCAGCCTCCCGTGACATCAGATTCCCACTGGCATTATCAGCGTGGAAGTGCTGCATGCACTTGTGCGCTGGCTAGCTGGGTTAGCGCTGGAGGAGAAGCTGCGCTGGAAGGAAGGAGCTGGGCGCTGGCTTGCAAGAGGCAGCCCTAGTTGCACCAGCCAAGTAGCATAGTTAGAGGGTTAGTTGTTAGTCTACAGTGGGTAGCATTCAAAGTAGATCTTCGTGGTAGGAGTGTGCATGTATGATGAGATAGGAGGACTAAGACTGAGATCTTGAGACTGAGAGAGAGAGAGAAGAAGGACAGGTTGACGAATGGCTATGGTGACTACTTACCTGTTCTGTGCTCGCTGGTTGCTGTGAGAGGTGGCGCTGGCTAAGCCAGACCCCATTATGTTGATGTTCGAGAGAGAGACAGGTCATGTTGTTGAGCGCCTGGAGACATGAACTCAAGATACTCTTTATAATGTGTTTGAGATAACATGAGCTGCGCGACTTGGTTCTCATCTCATCCCCATTCTGCGTTGTGTGTGGAGTCATAATCTATGTGAATGGTGAAGTGGCATGCATTGTGTTACACTCTGGCAAGTGTTGACAATCAGGTCCCTTGCAAACTTGGTATCGGAGCTGAAGCTTGTTGCACTCACTGCGCTGGCATGAGCAAGGCCGGCGAGAAGAAGAAGGGAACGCTGGCTTGATGATGATGATGGCGATGGTAGAGTCGTGAGAGAGGTGGATTGGGATCTTGGGGAGAAGTAAGCCGAAGAGGAAGGGGCAGAAGATTACTTACCTGGAGCGTTGCAGTGCGGAGCGACGAGGAGCTTCATCAACAGCCGCTTCAAAGAGAGAAGAACCTCCACTCCCCTTACCTGGCTATGTGTGTGTGATCTCTATCTGGTGGTCGCTGCTGCTGCTGTCTACCAAGGTCTGGTCTGGAGTCAGGATATAAGTGTCTGGTCACACTCGAAGTAGTAGTGGTCAGAGTCCTGGTGGTCTTCTCTTCTACCCCTCTGAATTGTCATCTGTAGGAGGTAGTAAAGGTGGGGGGGAACACTGGTTGTAGTGGTTGATTGCCACGTCAGATAGCAGTCACAACATAAGGTCTAAACTGGGCAGTAGTAGTAGTGTGATGCAGCATTGTCCAGGCATCGACGAGTACACACTCCAGTACCCCTTGTGCAAGAGGACAGACAATTAGTGTTAATAAAAGGAAAAAGAAGGCATCCAGATCAGCAAGAAAGAAAGAAAGGTACCAATTAAGAAGGAGATCAGCAGTGTTAAAAAAAAAAAAGAGAAGTTCTACTTAAGTTCTTGAAATTCGTTATTGTGAAAGCAGCGATTCTCAGAGTTAACAAAAAAAAAAAACAAGCATAATATCTCATCCACTTCAGACTAAGTTTAGTAGCATCTAAGGGAAGTATCTTGGTGGAGCGGCGGAGGACCACCTGTGCCGTCAGCCACCATGGATGACTTCCCCATGCAGGGAATTCTGGCCCTTTCTGTTTTATTGGGCCCCCTCTTCAGAATCTTCTTTCCTTTGGGGTTTGGGAGAACATGCTCGTCCCAAATGATGATGAGGTCCGGTGCCGTGAAGCCAGGGCCCATGCCTGCTGAACCGGCAGAAATCGATCGTCGGAAGGCAGAGAAAAAGAAAGAGAAAGAGAGAAAGACAGAAAGAAGAGGAGATAAAGAAGAAAACCCAACTGGAAGAAGAAAGATTAAAAAGGGAAATGAAAGAGAAAATGGAAAAACAGTTGAAGGAGGAATTGCAGACAATTGAAGAAGAAGATGAACCTGTCGATGACAGGCTCATCAGACGGCAGACGGAAAGAGGTGAGACTAGTCAGACAGGTGGAGGACTTGAGGTCAAGCCTCTGGACTGGTATGACCAGTATGCATACTCCAGCGATCGCGTAGAAGAGACAGAGGCAGAAAGAGATGCATTTCTTGCAAAGTTGACATCCATTGCAGACCAAAGGGAAAAAGATCTTTTGCTCGAGGAAAAACGTGCCGAACTGCATAGCAAAATGTTGGCAGCAAAGCGGCAGGAATTAGATGAAAGAAAAAGGCTGCAAGTCGAGGGGGCAAGATTGCATAAAGAGCTGCAAGACCAAAAAGACAAGCAAGCTGCAACGGAAGAGAAGCTTTGCCCTCTTAACAGAAACAGTCCTTCACATAAAGCAAGAGGTAGCGACAATAAATAGAACGTTGCAAAAAATGGAAACGCACCAATACGAGTTTGAGGGAGTCTGGAATACCTTTCTACAGAAGTCCGCCAAAGACATCGATCTGCATATACAATCCTATATTGAAAAACTAGACAATCATATCACACAGACCTTTACTCCGACCGTAATTGAGAAGAATAGTTCGAGGCAGCGGCGGAGGAGGAGGTGGAGATGGAGACGGAGATGGAGGAGATGATAAGAAAGGGAAGGGAGTGCTTCGAGAAGATAAGGATATAGATGTACGAAAAATAAAGGTCAAAGTTCCATGGACATACAACGGTAAGAAAGAGCAAAGTGTGCTACATTGGATTGCAACAGTCGAGTCATACGTCTACGGACAACGCATTCCATACTGGGACAGGGTGCTAATGATAAGTTCGTGTATGGAGGGAGATGCCATGAGCTTCACCATCTCCCTGCAAAAGGAGGCAGGTTGCAGCTCTATGGTAGAATACTCCCAGCAAACCTGAATTGAGGACTTTTTCAAAGCCATCCGAGACCGGTTTGAAGACAAGAACTTAGCCAGGATGACAGAAATATTAGTCCTAAACCTCCCAGATAGAAAATCGAAGAGCACCTCAGCGCTTAAAGCTACCATGGACGAACTGTTACAATGCAATGAACATGGTTTGACCCCTGCTCAGATATTGAATAGTTTTGCACGCGCACTACCCGACCCCCTTTGTATTCAGTTGTATCCCCGTACAAAGGAGGAGGGGATGACCTACGAGAAGTTCAGCAAGATCGTCATAGATCACGCTGGCTTCTTGGCCGAAGCTAACTATTGCCATTACTGGAAAGATCTGCAAGCGGGTGAAAAGTGGCAAAACCGCACAATCTCAGGGTCTATACCTGGGAAAGACAGCCTCCTTCTGACCTTTGAAGAAGGAGGTGTCGAAACACTTTCTTGGGATCAAGTTGACTATGGTCTTGAGGAAGGACCCAACGGTCCGGTAGCTCAAGAGGGGAGCTAGGCAGCCGTTGCAGCCCGCGGGGGAGGGCACCAAGGAAGAGGACGTGGCCGAGGAAGAGGAGGCCGCGAACGTGGTGGAAGAGGACCCGCTGCCCAAATGGGTGGTGGCGAAGGTAGCTACTATGCGGGTGGAAGGGGTAATGGTCCCTCGTAAGGTGGGTGTGGTTTCAATTCTGGCTGGGGAAGAGGAAGAGGCACTTGGTACAACAATTGGGACAAGCCATACCCACCTCATCCAGGTCTACCCGAAGGGGAACCTTGGAAGAATCTGGGGTACAAAAAAAGTTTGGCAGGAAAGGAACGTTGCCGACCAGTTCCTTAAATGTGGGGACCCCGACCACATTGTCCCTTAGTGCCCTGATTACAACATGGCAAAAGGGAACAGCCAGTACAGGTCTCAGTTGCCTCTACAGGGACTTCGGGTGTTGAAAAAAAGAAATCCTCCCATTCGAAGGTCCCATTGGCAGAAACTGAAGAGGTAGACAGTCCCCATCTAGTACACTGTCCAGAGGTGGCAAGCGTATGCATCTCTCTAGATGGATCCCTCGTTAGTGTGGGTGATGAGTTGGCCGCTCGTTGCCAAGCCTGGACTGAGATGAAAAACGTAAAGGACAGCTAATAATTGCAGATCTTTAAGTCAATAAAATAAGAGTAGGAGGAATGATAGACAGTGGGTCTACACGCAGTTATATCAGTAAGAAAGGTTTGCAAAAATTGCGTCTCGGGCTTAAGGTAAAGCAATTGGATGAGCCCATGGTGAGTAAATTAGCTAATAGTACGGTAACTGTAATGGATAGATATGTTGAAGGGGTTAAGGTATACTTCCGGCTTGAAGCAGAGGGGAAGGTGGAACGCGTTCTTCACTCTCTGACTCTTTTGGTGGAAGATAATCTTCCTTTTGACATTCCTTTAGGTATGGATTGGGGGGAAGTTGCAAATACAAACATAAAGATGAGGAATCATGAGTGTTGGCTCCCTAGTCCGCAAGGTGGAAAGAAGAGAATCCGCCTATTTCATGAATCAGGTAAGGAAAGCAGCTTGGCTCATTGTTGTATGAGTGCCCCAGCGTTCGCTCGCCATGTCAAGAAGTATAACTTGTATGACCAAGTCTTTGTGGCATATGTGCACCCAGTAAAAGAGGGTGAAGTTAAGGAAGAGCCTAAGTCCCCAAAGATTGAGCAACTTCTGAAAGAATTCGCAGATGTGGCAGAGGCCCCAAGCGATGTGGTTGAGAGACCCATTAAGCATCGCATAGACATTATCCCAGGAAGTTCAATTCCTAAAGGGGCCATCTACCGAATGTCACCTAAAGAGTTGGATGAACTGTGATCCCAACTTGATGAATTGCTAGAAAAGGGATGGATTAGGCCTAGCTCCTCGCCCTATGGTGCGCTTGTATTATCTGTGCCTAAAGAGGATGGCGGGGTACGCATGTGTATAGACTATAGGAAGTTAAATGAAATAACTGTAAAAAGCGCCGAGCCGTTACCGCGGATAGATGATCTGCTAGATCGTGTGCAGGGTTGCAAATACTTTACGAAAATTGATTTGAAAACTGACTACCATCAAATTGAGGTAGAGCCAGAAGACCAATACAAAAATGCCTTTTGAACGAGGTATGGGCATTATGAGTTCATTGTGTTGCCCTTTGGTCTTATGAATGCCTCTGCAACTTTCCAAAGAACTATGAACGAACTCTTTCGCGAGTGGCTTGTCAAATTTGTCATTCTTTATTTGGATGATATTTTGGTTTTTAGTAAAGATTTGAAAGAACATTCTGAGCACCTTCGACTTGTGCTAAATACATTGCATGAGGCAAAATTGAAACTAAACCCAAAGAAGTGTGAATGGGCTAAGCGTCAGGTTTTATATCTAGGGCATGTACTTGATGGTGATGGGATCAAACCGGAAGACTCGAAAATTGTGGCAATTCGCAATTGGCCTAACCCCGACACTTTGACTGAGTTGCGGTCATTCCTTGGGCTAGCCAATTACTATCGGAAGTTCGTGAGACACTTCACGATAATTGCTGCACCCATTCGCAAATTACTTAAAAAATAAACTATCTGGAAGTGGGATTCAGACTGTACAGCTGAAGAAATGTCTAATTAACTACCCGGTTTTGAAAGTTGCTGACCCTTCATTACCCTTCGTGGTCACAATTGACTCCAGTCAATACGGGATAGGTGTTATACTTCAGCAAGATGACGGAAATGAATACAAACCTGTAGAATTTATGTCTCGACGACTGCCTAACGAGAAGGTCGCCGTTTCTATGTATGAGAGGGAGTTGTATGCTCTCCGGGAAGCTTTGGATCATTGGCGACACTATCTCTTGGGACGCCACTTCAAGGGCTATTCGAATCATGAAACACTACGCTGGCTTAAAACACAGGCCCGAATGACACCTAAATTGATAAGGTGGGCCGTTATGATTGATCAATATGACTTTGAGCTAAAGCCAGTTAAGGGTAAATATAATGTTGTCGCCGACGCATTAAGTCGAAGATCAGATTTTTTTGGTGCCATTGTAACATACTTAAATGTGGGCACCGATTTGCAAGAAAAAATTAGAAATGCGTATTCCACTGATCCTGTCTATGGCGCTATGCTTAAGCGTGTACAAGAAACGCTAGCAGAGTTTCCTAACTATCGTATCACACAAGGACTATTGTTTGAAAGGACTGATGTGCATGACAGACTTTGTATTCCAAATGTAGAAGAGATCAAGAGTTTGATCTTGGGGGAATGTCAAGACACCGAGGGCCATTTTGGGTGGAGGAAGACCTCCGCAAACCTTGTGCGTTCCTACACCTGGCCTCGTATGAAACCATACTGCATTGCGTATGTGCAGGGCTGCCAAATGTGCCAAAGAAATAAGAGCACCACACAGTCTCCCCTTAGTTTACTTAAGCTTTTGCCTATTCCAACAGGTCCGGGAGACTCTGTGTCCATTGACTTTATGGACACCAAGGTAAAAAGCAGGAATGGGAAGACGCAGGGAATGGTAATCGTTGACAAATTTAGTAAGTATGTTGTCTTCGTAGCTTTACCAGCGGAAGCAAAAACGAAACTGGTAATCCGGGAATTCTTTAACCATTGGGTAAAGGATTATGGACATCCCTTGACAATTGTGAGTGACAGAGGTACACGGTTCACGAGTGAACAATGGCAACAACTCATGAATGTCTATGGCTCTAAGTTAACTATGTCGTCAGGTAGACACCCTGAGACAAATGGCCAGACTGAGCAGATGAACAATATCTTGCAACAAACGTTGCGCATGTATATTCGTCCCGATTAGATTGACTAGGACGAACATTTGCCCAAAGTTGCTAGCGCTTACAATACCTCTGTTCATTTATCTACATTCAAAACTCCGATGGAGTTGCATCTGGGATGGCGTCCACGCAGGCCTATTGATCGGCTGAACCCGGATCAAGTACTTAAGCTTCCACTAGGAACTAGTGAATTTGCTATTCAGTATCAGGAAGACATTCAAAAGGTAAAAGGAAATATAATGAAAGCACATCATCAAATGATTGAACAAGCAAATAAGCATTGAAGACTTTCACAGTTTGCTGTAGGTGATCTAGTGTGGGTTAAGTCTAAAGACTTTATTCCTGAAGAGAACATCTCTCAGAAGTCACTACCCGCCTATAGAGGACCTTGGCAGGTTCTAGATGTAATTGGCGATGTGGATGGCCCTTCATATGTTATAGAGATTCGTCTACATCTACATACATATCCAGTATTCCACGCTTCGAAACTCTTACCTTGCGTAACAAATGAGTTGTTTCCCAGTCGCAGATCGGCGATATCTCCTAATATGGATGGGAAATACGACATGGATAAGATTGTTGTTGAAAGTACCTTTCAGGCTGGACGTAGGGGCAGACCACAGCGGCAATATAAGGTGAGGTTCGCTTATCAGGATCCAAGTGAAGATCGCTGGTTTACAAGGGAAAATTTGCTAGAGTCTGCACCTCATATTGTATCTGCTTATGAAAGAACAAGAAGAGGAATAAGTATTATACATAGATGAAGGTTTTCTCAGAGGACTTCGGAATTAGGCCGGCGAGAGTAAGAGGGCCTTTACCCGATTCAGACCCTGTTCGGCAAATGCAGCATAGAGGGATCACTCACGAGGGCCCAACTCGTGAAAGCAGATCAAAGGACATGTTCTCTGGGTCTAAAGTCACATCCTAGCTAAGTAAAAGCCAATGCCAAAGGTCACAGTTGTGCCCTGTACGAACAGCTGCAATATCTGGATTTGGGACTCACAACTGTTTGTCCAGGGGGTGCGGAGGTCATGTCTGTTCAAGCAAGAGATGTGTCTGTACGTACAGTATGTGTCTGTTCGTGCAGTATGAGTGTCTGTTCGTGCAAATTGTGTGTCTGTCCAAAAGGAAGTCAAAGGGCAGGTTCCCAATTCTGTCTAAGTCTTTATAGGGGGTCTAGATTCAGACACCCAGTCCGAAATCCAGGCCAAATGGCCGCAGCAGCAGCAGACCCTGAGGCGAAAATACTGGGACACACACATATGCATTGGCCTGGGACTGAAGGAGGCCCAAAGTGCCAATACAGACCAATGCAGACCTCGCCAGGGGAGACCAGCAGTATAAAGCAATAGGCCAGCCTCCCTTGACATCAGATTCCCACTGGCATTATCAGCGTGGAAGTGCTGCGTGCACTTGTGCGCTGGCTAGCTGGGTTAGCGTTGGAGGAGAAGCTGCGCTGGAAGGAAGAATGACCTGGGCGCTGGCTTGCAAGAGGCAGCCCTAGTTGCACCAGCCAAGTAGCATAGTTAGAGGGTTAGTTGTTAGCCTA